TCAAGAAACAGGACCCAGATCTATATTTCGTTCTGTTTTTTTTTATACATCCAGATCTGACCGGTTGTAGTGGAAGGTCGCGTCAGAAGTCATACAAGTGGCTTTTGGCCCTATGACATCCGATATTTGATTAACCAATAAGCGTTGATGTTTCTAGTGGGTTATCCAAAGTTCAAGTTAGAAACTCGCCGCAATTTTGACCCTATGACATCAGACACTTGATTAACCAATCAGCGTTGCTGTTTCTAGTGGGTTACCCACAGTTCCGTGCACCTCATGTGAAAGACCGTTTCATTGGCTTATCATTCACCTCATCCAGAACACGGGTTATATAACAGCTCTCCGAGATCTTAGTGTAGTAAAGACAAGTAAAACAAAATTTTGAACTATAAAAAACTAAACGGTTGACTGTTTCACCATCTGGGCTAATGATAACAAATGTTATTTTGATGATCTTAAAATTGATTAAGAAAAAAACAGTGTGGGAGAAAACAGAGGATCTCGAGAAAAACTCACGAGTCAATATCGATCCTTCGTACCTTCCCCACACCCGTAGTGATAGAACCGAAATACAATAGGTACCGTATTTAACACAAAGTATGGTTTATATCAAATATGGTCAAGATTTGAAATATAACAGATGAGTAAAAGGGATTGTAAAATTATGATTTGACAGTTTTTATCCATAATAAGATATTCTCGTCTTCTAATTGACGTTCAACTGATAATATACAAGAAATGATTTGGATCACAGTTTCGAATAAATCCATACCAAATATCTGGAGAAAATATTATGTGACACAAACTAGGTCATTTCGGGACTAACATATGGTTCAATTTTATTTCAACAATTTGCTTTCATGTAGGGTCTTTAGCAGTGGGAGAAAACCCATAAGAATGGACAGGCAATCTTACTCCTTGTCACGTACAACTGGGGAATCGAAACCACACCAGTTGAAAGACCTTATAATACAACGCACACGCTATAATCATTCGGCCCCCACCCCCACCACCAATATAATCGAGTTGAAAATGAAAATGTTATCTGCACTCATTGACACTAGTAGAGTATTTTGTAATTATCTTATTAATGAGAAATATGTCAAGTTACGATTGCTAATCAATATTCTCTACTTTACGTACCATTATATCGACGGAAATTCAACTAAAAATATTCAAGTTGTCGCGATTTATTTGATATTTCGACACAAACCAGGTCATTTTGGGACTAACACATGGTTTAATTTTATTTCAATAATTTGCTTGCGCGTAGGGGTCTTTAGCAGTGGGAGGAAATTGGAGGACACAGAGAAAACCCACGAGGTTGGACAGGCGACCCTACTCCTTGTCACGAAAATTCTTAGAATAACCAACAAAAATAACACAAATGTAAAGACAGAAATAGCTCTCTCGGTTCTTCAAATAGCAAGATTAATCGAAAAGGAACAAATCAAACTATTAATCAGTCTTTTACGCAGCTAATAAGGAAAGTTTGACCATTTTGATTAAAACAGACAATAGTCTCCATAGTTAAAGAAATGAAATGGGTTTTAACATAGTCCTACTAGGAAGGACATATGTTAAGGGATCTTTGACGTGCACACCAACATGTAAATAGGACCATACTTTATCATCCCATCCAAACAATAGATGATTGGTATTGCCAGGTCCTCCATCAAGCTTCATGACAGGGAGAAACCATGTAAGGTAACCCTGAGGAAATTTCTCGTACAAAAACCTGATCAAGCAAGCACTTCCATGGCTCAGCAAATTCTCTTTACATTATCTGGGTCTTAACTATTATAGTGAGAACTGCCAGCTCTTTATCTAATCTTCCATAATGTATCTTTAAGCTTCTAAATTTTCAGTTTACTTAATCTTGGAACATAAACCTTTATGGGAATTTGGATGGGGTCAAAATGATTTTGAAATTACATACTTTCTCCCTTCAATAAATCCCGTCTTCATTAGCCCAGGTTAGGAGCAGAACAGTAGGACGTTAAACTCCATTTCATTTCATTTCATTTCCCTTCAATAACTCAACAGCAAATTACCATGTACAAAACCCAAACTAAATTCAAACTCAAATCAATGATTTTTCCACATTTGAATAATTCTCACGCAACTTTTGTATGGAAGAAATTTATTGTGAATAATTGGAGTTGTCATTTTCCAAACGCCTTCTACATTCAGACATGCAAAGTTATCATTTCTTGCATCGAAATACAATTGCCATGACATGACACTTGGATAGCCTGTTCCTTGGAGAATTGACGGGCCTTGATTTTTGATATGAAATCACAATTACAAAGTATGTGAGATGATGTCATGCTCGGTTCTTGGGTCAAAATGTACTATTGTACTTGTTTTTTTTATGCAGATGTGAATGAAGAGATAGTGAGCGAGAGAGAGAGAGAGGGGGGGAGAGAGAGAGATGGGTTTAAATTCCACTCAACACAAACTAGGTCATTTTGGGACTACCAAATATGGTTCAATTTTATTTCAAGAATTCGCTTGTGCATAGGGGTTTTTAGAAGTGGGAGGAAGTCTGAAGAAATCCATGAGGATGGTCAGGTGACCCTATTCCTTGTCACATACAACTGGGGAATTGAAACCACGTCAGTTGACGCAATGACAGACCTTATGATACAACCCGCATGCGCTAACCACTCGGCCATCTAACCCCCTGTGAATGAATAGATTATGGTTAGATTATATAAAATGAAGGAAAGGATTGGGGATTGGGTGTGGGTGGGTGTGTGTGTGTGTGTTGGTGGGGGTGGAGGGGTGGAGGTGGCTTGTGCTACCCTCTACCCTCCTCTCAGTAGTCTTTAAATGGTCAAATTTTAAGCATCTCCAGCATCAAAATCGTCAACTAAAAAACAAATTTCCTTTTATAGTTTGTCACATTTCAAAATCTGTGTTCCAAATCCTCAATCTAGTGGCATGGTTCTCATCCTGTGCTTGTACATGACAAGGAGTAGGGTTGCCTGCCTGACCTTGTGGGTACCTTTCACTATTACCCCAATGCATAAGCAAATTTTTAAAATAAAATTGTACTATAAATTAGTCCCGAAATGACCTAGTTTGTGTGTGTGGGTGTGTGTGTGTGTGTGTGTGTGTGTCTCTCTCTCTCTCTCTCTCTCTCCCCCCCTCTCTCTCTCTCTCTCTCTCCCTCTCATATCTACTTTAGTGGTCTATGTCCGTGATGAGAGTAAGATGATGAAAATGAAGTGAATGTTGATTGATTGTGTAGGTTGATATTACCTGGAATCTACCTGAATAATCTATACAGGTGTTAATTAATTATTAACGTGTCTACAACTCGTCAAGGTTATCATACAGATGAAATATCAATATTTACACAAATACTAGAACACATAACATTGCAAAAACCACAGTTTATAGGTCTTGTGGCAATTGAAGTCATCGCACTGGAGCAAATAATATCTAAAAAACGCATGTGATAGGCCTTGTGGCAATTGAAGCCATCGCACCAGAGCAAATAACATCGCAAAAAACTACAGGTGATAAGTCTTGTGGCAATTGAAGCCGTCCCATTGGAGCAAATAACAATACTTAAAAAAACACACATGTAATAGGTTTTGATAGCAATTGGGAGTCATTCCATTGGAGCAAATAACATCTTAAAAACACATGTGATAATGTTTGATAGCAATTGAAGCCATCTCATTGGAGCAAATAATACCTAAAAACCACAGGTGATAGGCCTTGATAGCAATTTTTGGCTCCCCATTGGAACAAGTAAACTGTTTAAACCACAGGTAATAATCATTTAGAAAATTGACAGCGCCCCATTGGATGATGCATATCCAATGTAACAAAATAGGTAATTTTGGGACTAACATATGGTTTAATTTTTCATTCCATTAATTCGCTTGCGCGTAATGGTCTTTAGCAGTGGGAGGAAACTGGCGAAAACCCACGTGGTTGGACATCGACCCTACACCTTGTCACATACTATGCCAGTTGACTCAATGACAGACCTTATGATACTATGTTTACCAATTGGCCCCCCACCCGCCCAGAATTAATAGACCAAAAAGCCATTTATAAAATTGGAGATTGTGGTACAATAATTAATAAGGGTCCACCTAATTTCATGAATGACATACACAGGTTATATAGAACGCAAATCAAATGATTTGAGTATTACTTGGAACAATGTCTCGCTTTCTCTACTGCTCCAGAGGTGATACAGAGAGAGCAGGATTTAATGGTGGTTGAGCCAGTCAACTTTTGAAATAATAGAAAGTACAGACCTAAATCTGTTTAAATTCTACAAAAGAGAATTACTCTTCTAGTGTGCTAAAAATGTATATTTTAATGCACTAAAAATGTATCTTTTAATGAGCTACAATTATATATTTTGATGCATCTTTTAGAGTGCTATCAATGTAAAATATATATTTTAATGCACTAAAAATGTATGATGTATCTTTAGCGTGTGATCAATGTAAAATGTATATTTTAATGCACTACAAATGTATATTTTTATGTGCTATAGGTTATATATTTTGATGTAGATCTTAATGTGCTATCAATGTAAAATGTATATTAGAAAAGTAACACTACAAAAGTCTTCACAGGAAATACCAATCATTTTAATAATATTACTTATTCTGTACTTAGTGTGTATCATTAAAGAGAAAAATTCAGATCAAAGTTCACAAATCAAAATCCGATGCACACCTGAAATAGTAACCTGTGTCTAACCAAAGTTCAAATAAGTAGAAAACAAAAAAATAAATAAATTAAAATAAAACTAAAAAACTGGTTCACCTACCTGTTTCTTACCCTATTTCTAACATAGAAATAGGAAATAAATAAAAAAACAAAAAAAAACAAAACAAAAACCTATTCTGCAACCTGTTTCTTACCTGAGTTAAAATATATTAAAAGAAAATAATAAAAACAAAACATAAATAATTTAATAAAAACAAAAAAAACCAAAAAAGAACTAAAAGTATAACACATACCACACTTTCCGTAGTATTTGACTCGGATTTCCTTCATGCTGTTGCAAGCGGCTCGATGTAATTCACACATGTTACTATAATCTATTCCATTGCTACCACAGACGGGGGTGCTGCCCAAACTGTCCCCAAACGTATCGCATCGATCTGGACAGACACAACGATGTGAAGAACCATCAATGGAAGGAATACATTTGGCACCATAGGTACAGACTTCTCCCTCACATGGGTCTGGTATTCCTGGTGGAAATTCATAGCAGGCATTAGTTAAATCACAGATCATATACAAAATAATACCTATGTACAACATAGTGGAAAAACCGCTACAAAACTTTCGCATTTGTTTTAGTGATGAAGTGATGTTAACCGTTAGTAAGGTGAAAAATGGCATCTTGTTACAAATGTTAAAAAGCATCAGTGAAATATATGAATTCAGATATGTTTGGTGAATTTATATTTATCTTCCAACTCTTCTGATATAAAGAATAATAAAATGTTTTCATTCACTGTGAACACAAACTATATAACGACTAATCTGGCGCACGATTTCTCCCGATTCCATTTCACATGGTAGTTGGATCACGGCTCCTGTTTAACTGTGACCAAAGTCTCGCAGCACACGTTGACGAATGTATATACTACATTAAGTTTTCTAGTGTCATTCAAATATACCTGTCCTACAACCATTACTGTAAATTGCAACAACGTTGCCACACGTGAATTAATGAAATTGAATCATAGCGTCACGCCATTAAGTCATGCAAGTAATGGCAAATAATGGACGGACTGAACAAATCAATATGACTACACTTTGGTTGGTTATACGTCCTGCACGTCTGAGACTCTAGTATAAACAATCCAGACATTAACGCTCTTTCTGCTTTTCTAATGTCATAGTAATAATCACATTCTCGTGTCAAACCATTTTGATGATGTTGACTTAAGGCTGTATTGGAATACTAGGCCCACATTAATCCCCGTTATTTCCAATCTTTCTGATAAAATTAATAGCAGGAGAACTTGAGAAACCAGTCACCTTCCTCACACACGAGTCCTTATTTCTCCACAACTCTAACCAATTAATATATATCTGAGAGACTACGATAAGCAAGTCTACAAACTAGCTAATAAGAGTTGAAATAACAGTGGTTTTAGAGTCTGTCAGTAACACGATCGTATTATTCCACCATTCTCCAACAAACCATTTTAGATATAGCGTAAAACAAATGTGAATCCACTGTCAATACTGGCTATTATAATCAATACTCTGCTAGAATCGTGTTTTTAGTTAGTGTAACGATTCACTCCAATATCTGTCTCATCGTGGCAACGAGAGAATTTATAGTCAGTTTGCCAGAACCTTTCAGGCACTTTCGGGCAACCCGCTGACTTGCAGCAATAACTGACCGTTTAAAAGGTAATTTCAGCGTCCACTTGTAACCATGAATTCCAGTAATCTGTGGTCATTGTCTAGAGATTGTAGCTGGGAGATGTAACATACTGACCCTATCACCGTATCTCAGATTATATCCATGATTGCAGATAGTAAAAACACCGACTATAGGGATTTTCGACTCGAAGTCGCTTCCAGCTATTCCTCTACTAGTATAGCCAGATAAAATATTTATGAGTCAATTCCCACTGGGTTCTCGTTCACTAGTGCTTTAAACAAACAAGAAATGCTGTGTTTATGTTCTGTTTGTGCAATATCGATAAAAATACTGCTTCAATATAATAAATAGCAGTCTATTCCCTTTAGATTTCGAGAGGAAGGTCCTCCTAATGCTTATTATAAATAAACAATTTCCCTTTAGATTTCGTGAGAAAGGTCCTCCTAATGCTTATTATAAATAAACAATATCCCTTTAGATTTCATGAGGAAGGTCCTCTTAATGCTTATCATAAATAAACAATTTCTTTTGTACATATAAAAGGGTACGAGGCACTTTATTAAAATCGAACTGTCTGAAACTGTTACTTTTGTCAATATATTGTTTTAAAGATACACACTGAGCGAGAAATGGGATTTAACGTCCACTCAAAACAAACTAGGTCATTTATTTCGGGACTAACTTAGGCCTATGTGTAGGGGTCTTTATAGCAGTGGGAGGAAACCTGAAAGCTCAGAGAAATAACAAAATATATTGCCCACTCCTTGTCTTGTCAAGACCTTATGATCTAAAGTGCAAATTTTAAATCCGTCGCTCACCAACTCCCTCTCCCTCAGTCCCCCCCCCCTCTGCTCGCTGACCAACTCCCTCCCTCTCCCGCTCTTCTCTGTCGGAATTAAGCTATTAATTATTGTGATTTTTCCATTACCTCTTGAAACTTGGAGAATAAGAGTCCATCTATTTTAAAACATTTTTTATAATCTTTCAACTGTCATTATATCCTTTAGGAAAACTGGAGTTCATTACTCTCAGCATGCAATGTGTGCTGGTATTGGATATAAAAAAAATATCTGTCTGAAAGCCTCATTCAAAACTCTTTTAATAAGAAAAAAAAATACCAGCCACAAAAAAAACAAAAAACATATTTTCATAGAATTAATTAGATTACATTAAAACATTCGGAAATCCTTTTTTTTTTATAACTATTATTTTAAGTACATTAAGAATTAGTAATCTTTTAAGGAAAAGGATGTTTTGTCTGACTACCGTAGTACATTTTAATTAAATTTATAATTAATCGCTTATTTTCTTGTTTACCTAATTATTTGTCAAAAATAGATCCAGGTATTAATACCTGTGGTGAAAATTGACATTATTTCATTGGGGAAAAAATTACGTAAATTATTTATTGGCGTCAATAATGGGTAATCAATGGATTTAATGACTACAGCAATGAAATGAAATAAAAAGGTGTTTAACACCCTACTGTTCTGTACCAACCAGAAATGAAATGAAATGGGGTTTAACGTCCTACTGTTCTGCTCCTATACTGGGCTAATGAAGACGGGCATAAAGTGTGTGATGAAGGGAATTTTGCCCGGGCAGGGGCACTATGGCCTACTCTTATATCGAATTCCAACTGCCAAGTGATCTTTTACGTGCACGTGCACGGGACCTTGGTTTTTCATACCATCCGCAGGACTAGACAGCTGTCCTTGTCAGGCCCTCCGTCCTGCATCACTGACTAGGGGAAACCACGCCGGAAAATCTGGATGAACTTTCTCGGCCAATGTAGGGATCGAACACCCGACCTCCAGGCTAGCGACCCAGCGTCTTACCCACTTAGTGTACCAACCAGATGTCATACAGTGTGTTATTAGGAAATTTTTGCCCGGAATGCAGCATCTTCACCAATCGATTTCCAAACGCCAAAGTTTTTTTTTTATGTGCCCACCTAGGTCTTTCATACCATCCAAACCACTAGACATATCAACCAGAGAATTCCTCCTCAAAGGTGAAGTTTTGACCTTTTTTAAAATTGCAATGAGAGATAACACTGACAGGTCAACTTTTTACAAACTGACAGCCTCTCTAAAATATCTGATCTTGTCTTATAGAAGTATGCATTAACCAAAGAATCTCAACCTCAAAGGAGATGGCTGAATTTTATAAAAATATAAAAATGACGTACAACTATAACGGCTACTTGAATTACATTTTAAATAATTTCTAGATGCCTCGGCATTCCAATTTCACACTGAATAAATAAATATTTTCTTGGTAATGTCATTTGCAGAATAAGCAGTAGCAATTCTCACTTAAAGGGAGACGTCAAGAATTTTTTCAAAATGTTGATCCCTTCATCACTCTCTCGTGTTAGAATATAAAAAAAGATGGATCATTTCCTTTAACAACAAATTCTGGAAATACATGGGGCAAAATTCTATGGAATACACAGGACACAACTTTAGGAAATACACAGGATACGATTCTAAGGAATACACAACTCTAGGGAATACACAGGACACAACTCTAGGCAATACACAGGATAAGATTCTAAGGAATACACAACTCTAGGGAATACACAGGACACAACTCTAGGAAATACACAGGATACGATTCTAAGGAATACACAACTCTAGGGAATACACAGGACACAACTCTAGGAAATACACAGGATACGATTCTAAGGAATACACAACTCTAGGGAATACACAGGACACAACTCTAGGCAATACACAGGATACGATTCTAAGGAATACACAACTCTAGGCAATACACAGGACACAACTCTAGGCAATACACAGGACACAACTCTAGGGAATACATGGGACACAACTCTAGGAAACACACAGGACACAACTCCAGGAAATACACGGGACACAACTCTAGGGAATACACGGGACACAACTCTAGGAAATACACAGGACACAACTCTAGGGAATACACAGGACACAAATTTAGGGAATACACAGGACACAATTATATGGGATTCTCAATACTTTCTACACTGATGGGGTTAACAGAATATGCTACAATTCACCATGTCTTGGTAAATACTGATTGCCACTGAAACATTTTAGACAGAGAGATTCAACTTTTACAATATTGCAGTTAACATCGGAATCAAACTCTTAAAATGATGACAAAAGAATTTAATCTTTAGCCTTATCAACGTTTGGGAATATGTTTAAATGTCACCGAGTCTAGCACAGAAAAATAAGATAAAATCTTTATTTTTTTTTCTTAAATATTAATTATTCATGACAGACATTTTATAGATATTCAGTTTCGCTACTCATCAATGACCTTTAAGAAAAAAACCAAAAAAACTATGTCTGAAATGCAAGTAAAGCCCACACGCTAGCAACTAAATATCTATAGAATGACGACAATTTGATTAAATCATAAATTAATCTATTTATATTTTGCATTGGATATCAGGACTCCATTACCAAAAAGAGAAAATATGTTCGATTGCGATCGACTTGTAGGATGCTAAACCCCCATTTCCTTTCATTTCATTGAGATCAATGTAAATTTGGCTCAATGAAGATTTCAATGTAAATTTGGTTCAATGAAGATTTTTTAAAAGATGATTCATGGCAAAGGTATTCAGAAGGCAGCGAAGCATTTTCGTTAACATCTCGTTGGTAAAAGAAGCCAAGTTATATATATATGCATTATGCAAGAGGTAACTCTGCAGGTCTATCTTTAGAACTGAAATGTTATATAAACTATTAATTAGACATTTATTAAAGATACATTATGGGAGATTCGATAACGAGTTGGCAGTTCTCACTATAGTAATTAAAAACTAGATAACGTAAAGGCAATTTGCTGAAAATT